TGAAGTCTTTGCGGTGTGTTCCACCCCGTCCATACAGCAGCTTTGAAAAATCTTGAAAATCTTGGAGCTGGGCGTGTCTGAGAGCTTGGGGATTTTTTGCGAGCAACGCGACCAACAACCAATCACATGAATCTTCCGCCCCCGACATACAAAGCAAAAAACCCCAGGGATTTTATGCGAGCATTATATATATATAAACTCCTCAAACAGGCGAAAACCTACCAGTTTCACCCACTGTCTCTGCCACCTCCTTCCATGCCTGGTTCCTCCGGTTTGTGTCCCGGTAAATAGTTCTGGTCGTAAAGAACCGGGTGATTTGCTACCGTAATTTCTCGTTTGGAATATGAGGAAATGAACTGCGGTCTGGCTCTCCCAGCTTGCACGCGGCTTGATTGGCTAGCGCTTGTACTGTCAGATTTGCATGAACGGGATTTGATTGGCTGACGCTTCCAGCTCAGCTTCAAAAGTTGAACATTGCTCAACTTTTGAATCCTGAAAATCCTGAAAATCCTGGAAATCTTCGCTTTGCTTCCCCACAATGCTGTTCGGCGAAAAGCGAGGCAAAGTGACGTCACCCCCATTCAAAGTCAATGGGCAGAGAAGCGTTGGAAGCGTTGGAAGATTTTTTTAAAGCTGCTGTGTGGACGTACCGTTCCAGTGCGACACATGGCCAAGACGCAGGTGACGCGAGGCGACACAACAGTCGGGTCCGTCTGTGTCAGTTCTTTGGTGTCAGCTTGGTGTGTCCCTACCTTAAAGGTAGCAAAAGCTAACTTTCATAGCACAGCTTTTCTTTACTTCTCACTTAACACAATAAAGAAACAGACCGTATAGTACAGCACAAACAACACAAATGATCAATACTATATTTTCACTTGTAGTATTATAATAATTGAAATGCTGGTTCTTCTGGAGGTGTTGTTGGCGCACCGCAGCTGCCTGCACTGTACAATCGCTGGAGGACTGGGCTGTCACTCAAAAACTGAGTAGCCAATGGGGAAGCACCCCTGAAAGTCCCGCCCACCTGGGACGTTTGTGTCAGAATCGCAAACAAAAAATGAGGGAGCGCAAACGAGAAGAGCTGCAGCGAGAGCAAAAGTCTGATCATTGAGAAAGAAGAAACAAGAACTGCAAACAAAAACCTATGTTAAAACAAAGAAAAAAGACTCATAGTTTACATGATTACACAAATGATTTGTTTGCAACTTAGTTTTATTTTACTTGACCCAGTTTTTTTTCTTTTAAACTCAGTTTTGCTTTATTCTGAGAAAGTGTTCCTTTATCTTTATGATACAAAACTAATCCCATATACTTTTAAATAATTGGTCATTTCAAAAAGTGTAAACATATAAACTACTTATTCTGGTACTCTCTGACAAGAAAATAAAGCAACAAGACAACGTTTACTTCAGGCTAACAGGCCGAACATCATTGCGGCAAGCATTTCATTTTTTGTCATTTTAGCGTCAGTGGAGTAATGAAGAATTATATATAGTTTACTTTTTTAAAGTGCCCGCCCCCTGCTGCAGCACATTTTATATTAAAGCTTTACTGACATGTCCAAATTGCAGATCTCGACACTAAACAAGTGTTCTAGTTGATTACATTTCTTTGTGCACGCTATTTCTCAGAACATTTATAAGTTATACGTTCAAAAAGTGGTTGGGAAATTTCAAATCATGCAAATTACACCTATATGTTCATTAAACATTGTTAGTCTGAAACATAATTAATAATAACTATTTCTATTTAGAGGCGCCTTTTACAGCACCCAAGGACACCTTACAATTCATAAAATATTCAAAGTAAAGGTTTAAGACAGGACGAGTTCTCCCGTTCACATCCCTGAGTGTTTTTAATATACATTAATGCACAAAATATTTTTTTTATTTTTTTTATTACTGCCGATTTTATTCAATTTATATGTAAATACTGTTATATATTTTTATAGTGGTGTTTTTAATTCTTGTTTTACTTTTATGTACGCACCACGAAACCAAGTCAATTCCTCGTACTTGTCAACCTACCTGTTGATGAACCTGATTCCGATTCTGCTTAAAAGTCCCATTTTTCCCGGTACCAGAGAAGACAGTGAACACACCACGAAACAGACGACAGGTTTTAAAACAGTAAATCACTTTTAATTTAGTTCTCTCATCGGCAGGTGAGCTCGTTTAAACGTGATGACAAATGAAGTGCATCGGTAAAGAAGCCTGACAGGATTGTTGATACATGATCTGAAACACGCTCCGCTCGGATGTCCGTCTGTCACATGTTTAACAAGCCAACATTACTCAAATAAAAACCACGACAGTTCAGCTCTTGACCTGATAGAATAAAAAGATAAGACAGATCCATCGCCAGGTACAACGGTGGCAGCAATACACAGGATTGCCCAAGCAGTAAAGTACACGTTCCTTTAAGAAACAGGGAGAGAGAACGCGAAAAAACCTAACCTCTGGGTTTTTTAATCCCCAATTCAAGTAGTATTTACCCTTTTTCTCGTGTGTTAGCGTGTTTGTTTCTTAATGAATTCAAGTTCAGCAATGGAAAAAACAAAAAAAAAATAAAGACAAAAAAAAAGTCCAGATAATACATGTGTTGGTGGAGGAGAGAGGGGTAAACAAAAAGAGAGGAGGAGGAAGAGGAGGAGTGACATTCTGGATTCCTCAGCGGGAAACAAAGAGCAGCAGGGGGGAGAGAGGAGGAAGAGGAGGGTGAGGAAGAGGAAGAAGCCATCTTCAGGGGGGATGTGGAGAGCTCTCAACCAAACCTGATAAGTTACTCAGGTGGAAGAACCTGTGTGTGCGTGTGTGTGTGTGTGTGTGCGTGTGCGTGTATGCCTGTGCGTGCGTGTCGGTGTGTGTGTGTGTGTGTACCCTGAAATGACTGGACTCATGTATTTATACCACTACGATGTAAAGTAATACGTTTAGCTTGTTGTCCGATTGCTTCCTGCTGCAGTTGAATCCAGAGAGTAAATCTAACTCAGGTTGGAGGGGTTTTGGGTGTTTTGGGGGGGGGCCGCTGAAAGAGCCTTTTTATTGGCGCGGGTTGGGGTAGCGACTCTCGCTGGGCCCCGCTCCTCGTCCAGAGCCGAAGCTGGGTTTCTGTGCCATGCCTCCTCGGGTGGGGGGGCCTCCTCCTCCTCCTCTTCCTCCTCCTCCTCCACCTCCGATCCTCTCTCTAGGACCTCCAGGACCCCCAGGACCTCGAGGCCTGACGTCCCGTCGGTCGCCTTCCCGAGCCGAACGGGTCTTTTTCTCCTCAACGTTCAGACGCACGCTGCCTCGGAACATTATGGGCTGGGGGGGGGGGACACACAAAATAAGGGTTAAAGATTAAAACCTGGTCTTTGATTCTAAACATAATTTGTTATTGTTTTATGATCGCTGTCGTGTCTGATNACCCTACACAACAAATGTTAACACTGGTTTCTTCACCAAGTAAAGTGCACTCTCTTGCTAAATAAAATTAAATATTCAAGTTACAGTTTCTCAGTATAAAAATTCACTTTCTGTTTTAGGTAGCACTAGCAGTGATTTAACATCAATACAAAAGGAGAGTAAAACATCAAAGAGGAAAAGTCAGTGCCAAACAATTAAAATGTAAACTTTAGACTTGAAGTGCAATCAAAGACTTTAACATAACTGAACATCTGTTTCAACAGGGAAAAACAATATAAATACCAGGCCATGGTGGTCGTAGGACGTAAAAAAAAAATCGGGGCTACACGGCCGGCGTGAAAATCCTACCCTGGTGCACTGTCACGATAGATATGATATCTCTGAAAAGGCATATCGTGGAGACCTAATATCGTGGAGACGATATATATATCGTCATATCGCCCACCCCTAGCACAAAGGATGTATTTGTGTAGTCCGACCCAGAAGGAAACATCTCCCTGGTTCCCTCCACAAAAAAATCTTATTTCTCCACTTGATTTTGGATTGCTGCAGAAAATGACAAACGTTTATGATCCTTACAAGTTGAGTTCATCAGGATAATCTCCACACATTAACACCACTTTATGATTCCCGAAATAAAAAGCTAATGTTGGGCTCTAAAGGAATACAGCACGGTCACATGACTTCACGTCACCACCGCTAAGCTAAAGGCGGCTAATGTTGGGCTATAAAGGAACTACAGCACGGTCACATGACTTCACGTCACCACCGCTAAGCTAAAGGCGGCTAATGTTAAGGTCACATGACTAAATGTCTCTCTCTCTCTAATTTGTCTCCCTGCAGCAGTTCTCCTGGGCGTCCGTCACCAGTAAGAATCTTCCTCCCAGTGGAGCCGTTCCAGTTTCAGGGGTCCCTCACGTCGTCAAAGCCCCCACAGCACCGGTACGTCTCCTAAAATATCTATAGGATGCGATCATCTATCTGACAGCAGTCTGTATTCTTTCTGTATGATTTCAGTCTCTGAAGAAGCTGTTAACGCAATTATGATTTCTAGTTTTTGCTACTAGATGTAACATTTACAAAGATAAAGGAGATGTTATTTTCAAACTGAGGCTGGGTTACACTTCCAAAATGTTGTTTGATATCTTTGAGTAGATATGAAGCCAGCAGGTCACACACTTCCCTCACTGGCTGCACCTTTTTATGATGTTTATCAAAGTTATATCTCTCCCGTCTCCCAGCAGAGAAGCTGCTCCGTTTCTGTTTCTAACAAAGTGTGTTTCTGTTTTTAACAAAGTGTGTGTCTCTGTTTCTAACAAAGTGTGTGTGTCTCTGTTTCTAACAAAGTGTGTGTGTCTCTGTTTCTAACAAAGTGTGTGTGTGTCTCTGTTTCTAACAAAGTGTGTGTCTCTGTTTCTAACAAAGTGTGTGTTGTTGTTGTTTCAGCCGAGAGCCGAGGTGAAGTCAGAGACTCAAACAGCAGCAACGAGACCACAGAGAGACCAGAGACCGAATAGAGAACAGAGACCAGGAGGACCTCCACCAGTACACAGAGGACCCAGACCAGGTACACACACTTCCTAAACACACACCAGTGTTTCCCCTAGGAGTCATAGCAGCGGTGCTAAGGCCCAGCAAAATGTGATCGTGGAGTGTGTGGAATTTTTTTTTAATGTGTGAAGTGCGCCCCGCCAATATGTTTCTATATGTCTGCCAGCACAGGAAAGGCTCTTGAGGTCGAGTGCATGAAGTGGCAATGTCTCAAGATTTAGCAAAATACACCTTTTATTGAACATACAGTAACACAAATACTACAGATCCACATAACAAACAATCAAAAAGAGCGCTAGGGGGCGCCACTTATTATTATTTAAATACAAAAAAAAAATGTATTTGTATATAGGGGAAACACTGCACACACACTTCATAAACACACACACAGGTTAAGCTGCCTCTAATTAAGGCGTGATGTGCATATATACACCTTCGTTCTTGTATCCTGATTACGTCATCTCGTTTCATGCACTGTATGTATTCTATATTCTCTCACGGTATTTGTCCCTCTCTCTCGTATTGTTTCAGTGCGGGAAGGAGAGCAAGGAGAGACGGAGAGTCGCCGCGTGGTTCGATACCCTGACGCCCAGCAGCTGTTTGTGGGGAACGTTCCTCACGATGTGGACAAGACGGAGCTCAAGGAGTTCTTTGAGCGTAAGTCTCACGCATTACGCTTTAACAAAACACTTCACATTTAAGATTAAGGTCCTCTCTCAATCCCTGTGGGGAAATTCAGTTGTTTTACCTGAGTGAATTAAACATCCCCCCCCCCCTTTCTACAGAATATGGTACAGTCCTGGAGCTGAGGATCAACAGCGGAGGGAAACTTCCAAACTTTGGTTTCGTGGTGTTCGACGACTCTGAACCCGTTCAGAAGATCCTGAGCAACCGGGTGAGACGAATACTTGTTATTTCATCTTTCACTGGATGCTGCATCATTTATTTGTTTAGAAACCACTTTGTGAAACACCCAGAGCTCCTTTCTGTTCAGTCTGCTCTGTGATGGTTGCTATTTTATTGGAGTTATATATTGAGTTTAAAACTAACTTTACCATTGTAACTTAATTGCAACAACTTTTTTTATATCAATTGTTGTTGTTTTGCACCTGTATTGTGCAAGAAATGATACCATCTAAGCATTTGGTTAATAACATAAGCAGGTGCTGATTAATACAGGTGAAAAGTGCAGATGGAAATACATAACACACAGATTGCAGGAAATAAAACGGATAAAAGATTGACTTTCTGCCCGTTAAGTTATCCAATCAGAATCGTTTGTTCAACCAACGGATTTAAATAACGTTATTCAGCTGTGTTTAGATCAGGGTGACTTTGGCGTACATGTAATTGAGTTTTTTGAATATTTTAAACACAATAGAACAAACATTTTGAAACTTCACCAGAAGTACATTTTTCTTTTTCTGAGAAAAAAAAATGGGCAATAAGATTTTTTTTTTTTAAATCCTGAAATCAGGTTGTTTTCTGAAAAAAAAAAACGTTTATTCTAATTTCAAATAAATAATGACCAGGTTTTTTGTTATTAAAGTTTTTATTTATGAACATACATGCTACATAGCTTACATGGTACAGCATACAGAAAGAGGAAGGTCAGGCTACAAAACATGCGAGTGACGTGTTCCTGGTTCAAAGAAAACAGAAAAATACAAAGGTGTGAGATTACCAATCAGACACGACAGCGATCATAAAACAATAACAAATTATGTTTAGAATCAAAGACCAGGTTTTAATCTTTAACCCTTATTTTGTGNGTAAAATAGGTTAATTTTGTCGTAGTTGGTTTCCACCACAGTATTTACATCTCCTGTCATTCAAACAGGATGTGCTGGAGATGGGGCGGGGCTTATATCCATGTAAATACTGTGGTGGAAACCAACTACGACAAAATTAACCTATTTTACCGTGATTTAATTGTAATACACATTTCAAAATGATGCCGAAGTAACTACATACTGATACCGGTTAGTAAAAA